GGATGTGTTTGTTCATGGTGGCGGGGAGTTGAAGGAGATCACATCTGACGGCTTTAGTTTCTCACTGAGGTAAGGCTATCCTGCTGAATGTGGTGAGTCAAGATCAAAGTCACTTATTCTTATCCACTCGTTTAGAAATTTGAAAGCCTCAGTTGAAGGGAGCGGTATTATTATGCCTAACATAGAGATGTGGAAACAGTGATTCAGAACACTTCACTGACTTGTCAGAGGTCACCCAGGTGGCTGATGTCTGAGTCTGGACCGCAGGAGGAGTCTCCAGATTGTTAGTTTATTGGCACTGACAAGTCTTAAGAGGTTTTTATGTTTTAACTTTACCAATCAAAGAACAGTAAAATAGAAAATTAAAAAAAAAGTCTTAAGTTTGCTCATCTCTTATCACTTTTCCACTGTCTTTTTTATAGCTCAGCTTTAACAATTATTTACTGAGCATCTCATGTCTTCTGTCTTATTTTGTGATAGATGCTATGCTGAGAGATCAACTATGTAGCTAATATTTAGTGAACGTATACTATGTGCTAGGAACTATTCTAAGTATTTTACACACACAAAAAGACTATAATCCTCACTAAAACCCACGAGAGAGGAGGACTCTTATTGGTCCCATATGGACATTAAAATACCCAAGTCCAGTGAGGTTACACAGGTCTCACAGGTAGTAAGTGATAAAGCCAGACTGGTCTAGCTCCAACACTCATGGTTTTATCCATTATAGTATATATAGTTCCTGCTTTTAAGGGGCTTATCTGTTTTGGGGGAGAGCAAAATGAAAATAGAGCTGGCTTTACCAAATCGATCATCAGTAGCAGGATGGTGTAACAGTACAAGGAAGGCAATAATGCAGAGCACAATGAACTGCAAAATGACTAGTCCAATTAGAAACCTGGGGAAGGAGATCTCAGTGTGGATTTGATTGCCTGGCAAGTAGGCTTAGAATGGTTTGACTCACAAATCTGAGAGAGGGAAGAATAAATAGAGCTTGCAAATAGGCAGCAGTTCTTTGAGGGTCCATGAAAATTTACGTTTTCATGAAGAAATGACAAAGCGAGAGCTAGGTTGTAGACAAAGCAGAGGATTCACATTCATCCACTTACACATTGGTCCATCCAACAAATATTTCTTGCACCTTTGCTCAATGATATGTTTCATGATGAAATTGTCAGGTTTCGTGGGCCAGAGGCCAAATCTTATTCACCTTTATATCACCAACAGGATTGGCATACTTTTACTAATACTCAGGGCTAACAAGTGTTTGTTGAATTTAATTGATCAAAGAGGAATAGTCAGTTAGGTAAAGTCGACTTGTCATTTATTTGCACTTATATAAATCTTTACACTCTGATGTTAAACCCAAATCACCAAGCCAGACTTCCGCCTATTGGATAAATTCCCCCTTGGTACCTTTACTTACTTTACTGCCAACAAAACTAAGTTTGAACCTTCCCAGTCCATTGTGATAGGTTATAATAAGCAAGTGGATGAGGGCCTTAATCCTTTTTCCTTCCCAGGAAGCTCCTTGACCCCCACTAAAAATTTACTGGATTTCTCCCTAATTTATCCGCATATCAAAGGTGTATTGGGAGAGACAGTTTGTACCAGGACCCGAAGAGTCTGGGCACAACCTCTGCATTTGTTTTTTATGGCTGATAACAGATTACCACCAATTAAGTGGCTTAGGACAACATGCATTTATTGTTTCAGTGTTCTGTAAATCAGAATTCTCAGTATAGCTTGGCTCAACTGGATGCTGTCAACTGCTGTCAACTGTGCTGCTTAGTCTCACAAGTTAGAATCGATGTGTCAGCCCCACTGCCTCCCTTTCTGGGGGCTCAGAGGATGACGTTCATGCAGGTTCTTAGCAGAATGTAGTTCCTTTTGGCTGTGGGACTGCAGTCCTTGTGTTTTTGTTTTTTTTCCCCAAAACCAGCCAGGAGCCCCCTCTCAGCCCTTAAGGGGCTTGTCACATTGCCCCCACTTCATCCTCAAGCCAGCAAATCCTTATCCTTCCCACACTTTAGATCTCCCTGACTTCACCTTCTGCTTCATGTCTCTTCTGCCTCCAGTAGAAGAACGTACTTAAGGTCTCGTGATTAGACTGGGCCGATGAGGCTAACCCAAGATCATCTTCCTATCTTAAGGTCTGTAGCCTTAGTTTTGTCATATCTACAAAGTATCTTTTGCCATGAATGTAACTTATCCGCAGATTCTGGAGCATTAGGATGTGGGCATCTTTGGGGGTCCTTTTGTCTACTACACTTTCCCTCCTGGGACAGCGGGACCTCTTACTCAGAACGGCCCCTGAAGTGATTCCTTTTCAAGAGTACATATCTGCTCCAGGGCCAGATGCTTGCTGTCTCTCCAGCTCTAGCTAGAGAAGAGATGGACACAGTTTGGGGAAAAATAAATCCTCCTCAGGCATCCCATTGTATATATACTGGGAATAGGACCCTTGTCAGCCTGTATGAGGTGCTCAGTAGATGGTAGTTGATGTGATAGTGGTGACAGCAGTGATCTGTCTGCATGTGATCTAAGACACTAAGCGAGTGACTAAAGCAGATTCAAAGCAAATAAAACATAGCTTCAGGCTGGAAAAATGACAGGTGAACAGATCATAGATGGAACAGATGGAGTGGTAAATGCCTTGAAAAGAGGTGCTTCTTTTTCCTCTTGATGGCTGTTCTTGATGCTCATTTTAAACTGTCCTCACCCTGATAAAGCTGATGTGAAGGGTGGAGAGCAGTTGGTTAACATGCAGCTTGCCCGGACTGGTGTTCACACTCCGTGCGGTGCCAATCTTGCAAACCCAGAAAGGCCAGCCACTTGACGAAATTCCCTCAGAGAGGTCCAGGAGCTGGAAAAAGGTCAGCAGAGCTTAGCAGCTTTAAAAATAGAGAGCCGGGAAACAAAGAGCTTGACGCAACTTTTACAACTACAAATTAAATGCAAAGAATGACACATCATTACATAAGCAGCACAAAATCTAATTTAAATGTCAAAAGAGCTGAAGATTCTTTAATCATGTAAGAAGAAGAAATTGTAAAATGCGTTGAAGGTCTCAATTTGTACTATACAAAAAAAAGTGAAAAGTAAAAGTGGCATTGTTTTATAATGCAGAACTACAGAAATCAGTCATGTTTTTGTACTGTTTATAGGAATCCTGATGTTTATTTTGCCCAACTTTAAAAATACCCATCTTTGTAAGTTCTCGTGACTGTCAGGGACTGCAGATATATTTGAATACAAGGAGGTATTATTTAGCTTGTGAACGTGCTTGAATGTGATATGTGTGCCTATTAAAGTTATAGTTAAGTCTTATATGTATGAAGGGTACATTTTCATTGGGAGGAGTAGGCGTGTTACAGATTGCTGATGCTCTACTACTTGGAATATGCTTTCACATACGTTTTGCTCTCTTAAAGATTAGTTTTGTGGCAGTTGGTTTCCCTACTTCTGCCACCCACTTACGTTTTAGATCTCTGTTTTGAAGCTTGTGAGCTATATTTAACAACAGCATATTAACGTTTAAGTCTCTGTCTGGATACAGTGATTTCACATACGCTATTCTTCAACAGATGCCGAATTGTACTAGTGTTTGGTTGTCAAAGATATCAATCTAATCAAGGCTAAATATATCATACATATGTATGTATGTTTATGTATACATAAACATCTATATGCATCCATATGCATGCATTACACGTATGCACCTATATGTGTATATATATATATATACACATACATATGCATTTATATGTATGTGTGTGTATATATATATATGCTATAGCTTAGGAATTTTACTCTTCATTCTTTTACTATTTATTAAGCTGCTGCTGTGTTCTCTATAGTGACCTGAACACTGAAAATACTAAGGTTATCAAAACACAGGATCCTGGTCTCAAGGGTTTTCAGAATTCGCATTGAGAGAAAGTTGGAACAGTGTATTGTGATAAATGCTGTATAGTAGCCAGCCGTGCACGTGGAGAGATTAGGGAATACATAGGAGAGAAACCTACTTTAAACTAGGGCAGAGGGGAGAACTATAGCTCAGTGGTAGAGTGCATGCTTAGCATGTGCAAGGTCCTGGGTTTGATTCCCAGTCAAATATCTCTGTTAAAAAAATAAATAAAAATAAATAAACCTAATTACCCTCTCCCTCCAAAAAAAAAAAAAAAGAGAGAGAGAGAGACAGCTTAAACTTGGGCAGAAAGAATTGAGCTAGGATTCCTGAAGATGACTTTATTTTAGTGAATAAATCTTTAAAAGT